AAATTTAATTATTAATTAATTAAAATTTAATTCAATAAAATTATTCACACTTATTAGATCATGATTAATAAACGAAGCAAGAACATATTTATTCCTGGATTCGAATAAATTTTTACAAAATGAGAAATGACTAAAAAATTCATACCTGTCAGATCATGATCAACAAACTGTCCCCATTGCATGAGCATGTGAGTAACAGATTCCAAAGGAATATCTTTGTCCTCGTGAATCACTGTGCTCACCAGTCTAGCGCTAGGAAGTGGTCTTCCTGTGACAGATTTCCTGATACTCTGAATACCATCATCGTAAACCGGAGGCAAGAATCTGACAAACATCCATCAAATTCATTGCCATCCATTAGTCAAATCAATCTCAAAGTTTACATTACGTGTACTATCAAGATTAATAAATTAATAATAAATTTTTCATTTTTTCTTTTCTACTTTACAATATTTTAATATACTTGCACACTAATTGGAAATCGTTAAATCTAATAATATGAGCCTTTTAGAGATAATTGATAAATTGATAAAGTTTCACAACTAGGTTGCAAATTTTTATGTGAAAGCATATTTTGATATTTAATTATTATTTAACATATCGTATGTGATCTACATATTTTAATTAAAAAGCATATACATATGTATAAGGTGAGTTACTTGAAACCTGAAATATTATCGAAATTATTAATTATGTTGAAAAAAAATTTCAAACAAAATTTAAGAGCGTAGATCACACTGAGCTACTGAAAAGCAGATAAAGTTCGCAAATATTTTTTTTCATTATCGAGATAATTATTAAATAAACATTATTACACATAATACATATTTTCTGTAGATTCTCGAAATTTTAAATTTCCCAAAAATTCACACGTTCGAACATTAACAATCTAAAATTGACAAATAATTCCGGCACAAGATAAAGTTTGCATAACAGGCTGGGGAACTATTTGGAAAATTATTTGTGGAAAGGAATACAATAAATTAATGAAATAAATGATCATTTTATTTAACAGCCGAATAATCGAATGATTTCGAGAAGAATCATTTGCTCGTTCAACTAAACTAACGCATTGAATCAAAAAGATGGTATACTGTTTAATCCATTAAGAACCAAGGCAATAATTTATCATTATTGTAGGATTTTGGACTTTGAGAAACTTATGAAGCGAACTGATTTAAAAAATGACTAATAGTTCGAAATAATTGATAGTTAGCAAAAAACTAGGAATTAGTGGCACACAATCCTAACATTTCTTTTTTTATTGACAGCAAACATATTAAGAAGTGACATCAAGCTTTGATTTCTGGTGGTAATTTATTATTTTTGTATGCACTATCGAAACACTATCAATGAATGGCACACGGATCATCATATGCTAAGTTGACAGTGTTTCATAATGGCAGCGAGTTTGTTAATAATCGTAAAGATTTCATACACGCGACGGTTCAATTTTTGCCATTTTTCAACTTTTATTCTTTTCACACGTTTTTTTTATTTCACCGATTTACTCGACTTCCTTCAAGATATCATCAATTCGCAATAGACTCCGCACTATTATAAATGCTTCAATCTCTTGAAATTGAAGTGGAAGACATAATGACGAAGAAACATTGAATCTTTTTATAGTTGCAATATTAAAAAGAAAAATGTTGCATTGACGCAACGTTGGCCCTTGATGGATTGAATCGTTAATTCTTCTAATAACATCGAAGCCATTATTTGGTAAATCACCTTTGCATGGTGGACATGGCGGAGCCCCACCACAAATGCTGCAAGTTATTGCAGCTTCCGTCAGACGTTCTATATCGCAAACTAGCCGCTGGACAGTTAGGAACTCCTCTGTTTGGGCAGTTACGTCGAAGTGGATTGCTTTGACTGCGACGAAACAGAAGCGAGTCCGCCGGAGTATTTGGGAATCTTGAGCAAACGAGTTCCGGCAAATTCTCAGATTAAATAAGAGTGCAAAGTTGCGGAGGGTAAGAAGCGAATGCACTTACTTCCTTTTGAACATCGTGGTGCCCTGGAGAACCGCGTAGCCGTACTTCGCGAGGGTTCTTGCCTCTTCCGTTTGGTCGTTAAAGACTGCCAGGTGCCTGGCAGGGTTGTCCGAATCGAGGTAAAGGCCTGTTAAAATTCAGCTTAATGTGAAACTTTCCATCTTGCAATTTGTAAACAGGCTTTGTCAATTGTTGTGGACTATTTGCGCTTACAGTTGTCTCTACTTGACAAATAAATTTGGAATTTCCTCAAAGAAAATTTAAATTGTACTTTATATTGCAATCATTTAAAAATGTTTACGCACAATAGTGTACAATACAATACATAAATGTAAAAGCCATATTATGCTCTTCGTTGTAATAATAAAAAGTGAAGTTAATTTGATTATCTATATTACAGTGAAGAGCGTAATTGAACTAGTAACTATTAATTTTATATAAGAATCTTTTAATTGCCGTTCGTGTTAAGATATCAATATACGAATGAATATAATATTTAAAAATATTTTGGATAATTGAAACTAATATTGACAATTTTTTTTATCACTGCGAATGTTCTTTTCATTGCCGATGATAAGAAATTCATTTCAATTTATTACGCACAAATGATTTTATACAACAATTATGTCTACACATAAATCAGCAATTAAATTGATGGAATTAATTTTTTATTATGAACATAACACTGAAATAAATAGTAACTAATAATAATTTAATCATCGTTAATATTAATATATACAAAGAGTAAATATACAGAATGGAAACACTTTGGATAATTAAAGTTATTCTCTATGAAAATTCGATATTCTGCATATTTTTTCAAAATCTATGCATTCTGTGTGATTTGGTACTTTAAAATTCTCTATAAACGCATAAAAATCCACGTCATTTCGTAGCTAATATTTCAATGGAGACAATTGAAATGTTAGACAAAGAATAGGAGTACTCACCCATCGAATAAAGCATCGGCTCCTTAACATTATACAAATCCCTCATGGCATCGAGCCCAAAATTAGCCGCCTCCAATAAGTCCTTCTCGTCGGGTTCGCCTTTCCCATTGTAGCCGGCGTCATAGTTCTTTCTTTCCATCGAAACCACCTCGTCCTTTCTATTACTCTCCGTGGTTGTCCTCGGAGAAACTCCTCCCTCGGGATTTCTCTGCAAATATTTCTCCCCGTTCTCTTCTCTCTCTGACGGCCCCGAATTTCTCCCTCGGACGTCCTCCAGCTTCGGGAATCGATCCTCGCCTTTTTCATTGTCGATCGCGTGCTTCGGAACTTCTCGATCGGACGGTTCGATGGTTTCTTCCGCCGGCTGGAATAATCTTCGCACGTAAAGTAAAATTCGTTCGTATTCACTTGGATCCTCGGGAATAAATAAAGTTTCTATCAGCTCGGGACTATCGTTGCCTTGGTTTGATCCGTGCAGCGTGGAGTCGTTTGTTGGTCGAACAGTTGAAGATAATTCTGCGTCAGACGGTCGGGGGATTTCATAGTTCGTAGCTGACTTTGATAGACCGGAAGAGAGAAGGATGAGGAGGACGCTGAAAAATAATAAAATTAAAGACAGACTCGTCTCTACGTTCTAAATATTTCATACACTACAGTCTAAAAATTTCACCTTCTCGAATCAAAATTAGAAACGAAAGAGATTCTATGGAATATACTTTTTATTATGTATACAGGTTGTTGTCTGTTCGATGAAATATCCAATCTCATTGTCAGAAATATGTAAAATTATTCAGACTGTAGTGAGTAAATCTTATTGTTCGATAATATTTGTGACAGTCGATTTAAAATTTAATTACAAAATATAATCTGGAAATAAAAGTAATATATAATAATAAATATAATCTATGTATATAATAATAATATATAATAATATATATACTATACTATAATTATAATAATAATATATATAATATATATAATAATATAATAATAATAAAAAATATAATCTATGAAATAGAGGCAATCTAATTACAAATGAAGTTTCCAGAAACTAAAATTCGTCAATTTTTTAGTTTTGTTATAGATACTATTACGCAAGTTACAAATAATGTTCAATTCTCACAAAAAGGAATTTTAATGAATTACTTTTACAAATTCATTTATTGTAAAAAGACGACATAAACAACGAGCGAACTCAAAAGTAAATTAAAAAAAAAATATTATTCGAAATATATCATCACTTTTCTACATACTTTAATTCAATTAAGGGATTAGTTAAACTTATTAACAAGGAATTTCAATTAAAGAATTATCTGCAAGAAGTATAAAAATTGCTATATAATTAAGCGTTTACAGAATTGCAAAACTTTTTACTTATAGATTACGCTTAGATTAAACTTTTTACTTAAGATTAAACTACGATGCTTTTTTTTTACTTTCCTTTATCAGAGATATCTTTTCAGACAGAAATTTTATTAGTGTATACATGTATTTTATGATAACCTATCTGCACTGTATACCAATAAAATTTCTGTATACTCATATTTCGATAATGATTCAGAATTAATACTACCAATTAATAATTATATTTTATTGTCACAAATTTTTAACAAAAAAGTTTAACGAAAAGATAATAAAGGTAAAAATTTTTTTTAACTCCTAACGAAGAAACGATTACAAATTTTGAGCATTAAACTGTGACACAAAATTACTGAAAAAACTTATCTATATTGTTTCTTAGAAAAAAATTTTTTAAAAAATCAATTTCCATCTTCTATGAATATTAATTATTTATGTGTTGCAAAGTTTTATAAATTTATATAAAATTCATTAGTCAGTGTTTTTCTTACATAAAAGAAATGTAAGAAACGAATGAAACAGGAAGATGTGCTATTATTTCTTAGAAACAATCAATTTTTTGAAAAATTAAAATCTTCAATATTTTTAACAGAATACAATATGTTTTTTTTTATATTGTATAAAAACATGTATCAAAAAAAATTATAATAATATATTATACAAATGTAGAAAGAAATATTTTCAATATTCCGCATCATTATATTTATTAATATTTACTAGTGTTTCTTATTAGTAGATTTATATTTCGACATTTATTGGCAGAGTTACATTTTATACAAGATGGAGTTTCAGTTGTGATAAATTTCTACAGTATGTTTCCAGACAAATTGATTGAAAGACACGGATCTCTGAAATGGTTTCCAAGATCTCCAAATTTGTCACCGCTGAATTTCTTTCTTTAGAATATAGAACACTGTCAAAAATGTCGTTTATGATGTACCACATGTACCACAACGCATCATCTCAAAGGATAAAAAAAAAAAAAGGAAATAAAAGACAGGTATGCGTCGATATTTCAAAAGAAACAAAAATAGCAGAAACCATGA